TACAACCATGCTGGGGCTGGGTGGTAGATTGCCTGTCCAGCATTTGTGAGACCGTGGGTCCAGTCCCAGGCACTGCAGACCAAACCAGAACCAAAAACCCCACAAACTGCTTCGACCATGTGCCCAGGAAGACTGCAGCAGCAGCAGTGGGGCAGTCTGTGCAGCCACAGCAGTTGTTCAAATGGAAGGCAGCACCTGCGCGGCCATATGGTGTCAGATCACAGCCCAAGTGCGTGGGTCCCCGTTCCTTAGGCAGGGCTAGCAGCCTACCCACCCCCACCCTCGGTCATCACTGTGTTCTGATGGATTGGTAGGCGGCGCGCCCTAAGGACTTGGCATCTGCTTCTTTCTGGCTGCTAGGGGACCCAGGTTGGCTTGAGATGCTCTCGTTTGCAAATCCCTTGGGCCTTTGTGTTTCTGTGCAGATATTCCCTTGGGGTCTGGCTCCCTGGTGTCCACACCTTATCCTGTGTGGGGGCTTGCCCAGCAGATCCTGTTGGCAATATGAGGGCCAATTTGAAATGCATGCCCCCAAATTCTCTGGGTTCTAATAAGTTGTTTCCCTGATTCCTTGAATTTATGGACAACAGTATAAATGTGGTCAAAGGATGCAGCAGGTGACAGACAGGAACACAGGAACACAGGCAGCCCTCTGCCAGCCTGGCTGGACAGGGACTACAGGGTGAGTAGCAATGCAGTTGTCTCTAGGACTGACCCTTCAGGCAAAACTGAAACTGCTAACTTCACCTGTAAAATATGAGCCCCTCCGTTTTGTGACCACAAATTCTACTTTCAAAATTTTGGCCACTTTATCTTTCAAAAGTGAACTCATTTTGCTAGGTCATAATTTGCCCACATTGAGCGTGCACCTTGTCAGCTTGAAGGCAGCTCAAAAGATCGCTGGGTCACGTTCCCAGAGCTTTTGGGGCAGTAGGTCTGGAGAGGAACAGGAACATGCGTTAGCCCCCAGTTCCCACTACTATTCTAGTATGACCAGTGCTCCTTTGGGTGGCACCTGCCCTGTAAATCCTCTTGCTTCTGGCAAAATGGAGGGTGGCCTGGGCATCTGGATTCCAGAAGCACTACACCCGATTCTGACACAGGTACCTGGGCTTCCCCAACATCATTAAGGGAGGGCTGGGGCGGGGGCACGCTAGCTCACAGCAGGAGGGCGAGATGCCTGGGGGTTGGGGGCTCTGCCTGGCCTCCCTACAACACCACCATCTGCTTCATCTCCGGCCTGCCACATCCCTCCTGTCCTGCTGGACCCACCTGGAGAGACTTTGGATATTTTCTCAGCTGCTATTTGCTGCAGAAACCCAGGTACATCACTCCCCCTTCAGACCCAAAAAGAGTGGCTCCATCTGCATGATAAACCCCCTCCCATTTTGTCTGTCTCCTTTACCATCATGTCTGAGATGCTCCCCTCCTTCCATGGACAAGTGCCTTTCACGTTGCCCATTTAGACTTCAGACACTCAAGCCTTTCCCTCTTAGAAAGCACAAGAGGTAAATGGCTTCATATAAAAACAGCTCCCATGCTGGGTGCACTCCTGAGATCCCAGTGACATCTTGGAGACTGCGGATGTACCTCAGTGGTAAAGTGCCCTTGAATCAGTCCCCAGCACCAAACAATAATCCCAAACTCTGAACGGTGGTGGCACCCTGGGTGGGGGTGTCCATTAGCCTATGGCCAGTGTTGCTCAAGCCACAAGTTATTTTCAAAGGTTCATGAAGAACAAGTCTTGCCTTAGAGTCCCATACCTGAGCCACTGTATTTGTATTTTTTAAAGAAACAAGCAAGGATTTGGGTTTCAGAACAAATATTCAGCTTTTTGGACTGGTGCTGGGGATGTGGGCGGGGCTCCCAGTCAACAGGGCAGCTGATAGGAGCATCCAGGGTTCTTACATGCCCTCATCAAGGGATTGCCCCTGACTTCTGCCCAACCCATGGTGGCTAAGGTGGGTTTTAATCCCAGCTCACTCTGGGGAGACCAGGACGTTGACCTGTGAAGACTGTCAAACCAAAACACACTTTAAAACCAAACAGCCAGGCATGGTGGTGTGCGCCAACCCAGTGGCTAGGGAGGCTGAAGCCAGAGGATCACAAGTTTAAAGTCAGCCTCAGCAATTAAGGGGCACCCTTTCTCTCAATTAATTAAAAAGGGCTGGTGTGTGGGTGTGGCTCAGTGGTAGGTGGTAGAGCCATTCTCAGCACTGCATACAGACAGTCCACTGACAACTTGGGGGGAGCGGGGCTAGGGACATGGCTCAGTGGTTAATCACCCTTGGCTTCAATTCAGGGGACAAAAAAGTAAATCACATGGGGTTCCGGCTTTATTGAGCACAGACATGAACAGCAAGGGGCATGGGAAAGGGGGCCATCAGCAAACAATAGAGTGGAGGGTGTATCCTGTTGACCCCCCCAGGAAGCCAGGGCCCAGGAATTGGCTGTCACAGGCCAGTGGGGCTTGGCACCCATCTGCCCACAGAGCAGGGGCAGCGGCCCCAAGTGCCACACACTCAGATCTGAGAGGACGCTGGTGCTTTCCAGTAAGACTACAAACAATCTGAAGGTGACAAGGTGAAATGGAGATGGCCTCTGAGCACTGTACGCAGGCACATGAGAGGAGGCTTGCCGTCCACGTGGCCTGACAGTCACGTGCTCTCTTGATGGTGCAGAGAGGAAGATGTGACCTGGGCACACACACGGTGCCATCACACCAACTCAGGCACTGTGCTCGCTCTCAGCTTTTAAAAGGGAAGTGCAGGCAAAGCACAGGAAATAGCTCTAACAGAGTGAAATGCCACTGATGTCAACATGGGAAAGTGAAGGCAGGACATACAAACTGGAAAGGTGGCCAGGGCTGAGGATGTGGCCTCAGAGCAGCCAAGCAGCCTTGGCTCAGCTCCAAGGCTCTTTACTGGTCTGCCTCACCTTATGCATGCCACGGGTTTAAATGCCAGGGTGGTTAACCCCGTGGTAAAGAAATGCTATTTTCACTCCTCAAAATGGCAGCAAAAGAAAGGCCTGCGTGAATAGGGGTGCGCTGTGCAGTCCTCCGTGATGCACATGGTGCTGGCCCAATGACTGGCGGGGGGTGGGACACAGACATGGAGCAGACGGGATGCTCACCTCCAAAGCTGGCCATCAAGTACCCCTCCAAGGTGCCCAATGAGGGCTGTCGCTGTAGATGGATCAAATGACAGAGCACACCCACTGATGGCTGTATCTACCAGGGAACGTTAAATGTTTAGAAAGTTAAATATAACAGAACTGTAGGCAAAATATCAACTGTTTAGGGGAAAAAAGAAAACGAATCAGGGTTTCAAACAGGAATTTGAATGATCTTTAATTTTTAAATATTTTTCTGTATCACCCAAGTTTTCAAAGACAAATACATTTAAAATAAGTTTTGTCTAGAAGGAAAAAAAGAAGTTTGTAAAAAGATGATCAGATAGCAGAGAGAACCAGTGGACCCAGCAGCAGCATGAAAACTGACAGTGGCCCCCCTTCAGTGTACAAAGGCCCTGTGTGGGGCTCGTCCAGGCCCAGACGCGTTCTGCAGTCTCTCACCTGCCAGGGCTGTGGCATCACCAGCAGGATGAGGCGGTGTAGCGCTGCTCAGGAGAAAACCCCCTCCCAGCCTGGTCCCGGCCTCAGCCCCAGCTTTTATGTCCGTCCAGTGCTTATCCTGAAAAGGTTAAATTCTTTTTTCTCTTTTCCTCCTGTTAATGGTACAGGGTTTGAACTCAGGGGCACTTAACCATTGAGCCACTTTAACATTAGTTAAAGACAGTCTCGCTAAGGCGCTGGGTGGGGCTGGCTTCAAATTCACGAGCCTCCTGCCTCAGTTTACCAAACCACTGGGGATTACAGGTGTGTGCCACCAAGCCAGGCAACCACTCAAAGGTGGACAGTATCCGCTCACCTTTCAGAAGAGGGTCCAGTCATCTGCTCCAGGTCACAGTGACAGACCTGCTGTCGGAGCCCGGCTCCTCATGGCTAGAGCCTGAGCATCACCACTGAGCTAGAATCACTGCGCAAAGTGTCCCTCCAACACCGCAATCTGCTGTGTGTCAACGTGACCTTTAAAAGCCAACTGGGAAAGCTGCCTCAGATGATGGGACGAGAAGCCTCAACAGAAAGCATTTTAAGCCGTCTACTCTCTTTCAACCCGAGGAAGGAAAATGCGGAGATGCTGAGCCAGCGCCCTCCATGACAGTCCCTGCTGCGCACTTTAACTGTCCCACAGCATCAGCAAGAGCCAGGCCGAGAAAACCGGAGCAAACGAGCCACCACCGTCAATTTTCTTTTCTAGCTTTTTAAAGGCTTTCTTTAAAAATTCTTTGTATTTAAAAAATAGACTCCAATAACACCTCAATACCCTTCCAATGAGCACGTAAGCCCAAACAGTACTATATCCTCTGCTGTGTGAAAACCACCAGAGCGATCTGATGGTGGAAATACACTTTGATTACTAGAAACTTATCCAGCAGCACTACAAAAACAATACATAAAAACATTCAAGCCACGCGCATGAGATTGAAAAGAAAGAAAAAAGGAATCAATACCTTTTCTGATAAATCCACTACGATGAGTGGAGAAGTGACCAATCCAGCCCAAGTAAACTGCCTCACCAAATTTAGATATTCTGACTCTCCACTCCCTAAAAACAGACCTACAGAACTCTGCAGGCCAGGCCAGGCCACCAGAGAGCCATACAGCCTGGCTGCCCTAGACCTCAGGTTCCATGAAGTGGCAGTGAAGACACCTTTGACCTTCAGAAGGAAGGGGGCTAGGCAAGATCACCATCCCACTGTCTCAGGCACTGTCCGGTGGCCACCTGGGGAGCCAGCAGAGGACGTCCCCCACAGCAGGAAGTGCCTGTCCCAAACTCATGCTGTTGCCCAAGGTTCAGTCCTAAATTCACATGCCTCCGGTCCCTGTGTATGTGTGGGTATGTGTGTATACAGACAAAAGATTAACTGGGATTGAACTGGTTTAGAAATCAGGATTTTATGGAGTCCAGAGGGGAGGGGGCGAATCTGAAGAAGTTCTTCATTATAAAATATCAGAGAGCACCGAGAACCTACCCTTATGATGTTCTTAGATGCACGCCTTAGGGTTTACTTTATTGCTGATTACAGACTTGTAACTATTAAATGTGTGCTGCCTGGCAAGTTACACAAGTGATTCTTACATTTCCAATAAAAGCTTAAAGAAAAACAGACAAAAAAAAAACTACAAAGGGTGAGAGAAATACGAATGGCAACAGCTTCAAAATAAAGGATTTAGTAACAGAAGAAGCCTCCATAGTTGGTGTCTGCAAAAACTTAAAATTATCCAACTCATGCAGACGTTCAAATCAATGTCAGGCAGTGAACTGTTAATACTCATCCCTCGAAGCTGAAAACTAGAAAAGCCACCCACTTATATTTAGGATCACACAAACCACCTAATTTGCTCAAGGTTCAGCTTAAAGCAACATTTAATATCCTTTACAAGATGGAATCTATGACACGTTCAAAGGAAAACTTGCATTTTTGTTTAAATGCAACCATGCTCAGAAGTCTGTGATTTCCTAAGAAACTGTGCTGGGCTTAGCCAGTTAGGAAAACGCAGCTCACATCAGTGTCACACTGGCTGCCTGGAGGTAGCCTTGGAGGTACTGGAGCGCTTCCGCATTGAGGCTGGTGCTCACCATGGATGGAACCTGCAAGAGAGGGAAACCACATGCTGGAAAAGTCCTTATTGGTTCACGAGGCACAATGAAGTATTCAGGGTGAAATGACATGATGTCTAACACTTGTTCTAAAATTCTCTACAAGGAAAAAAAAAAAAAAACAACAGCAAATGAGAGGACACAGCCAAGTCCTGGTGACCATCACAGCCAAGTTCTCGACAGGTTATCGAGCTGTTTCTATGTCTGAAGACCTCCCTAACAAAACAAAATCAGGTCACACATAGTACAGCTACACAGCTGCATGAGATTTGTGCCACGACCCACCATTTAATGTAAAAAAGTCTACAAGTGCCACCTTCAACTCCTCTGGCAAGAGCACCTCAATTTATTTTTAGAATAGGATTATTTCATACTGGGAAACACATTTCCATTCAAGGATTTTTCTCCTTTTATTTTCACTCCTAAACCTTCATTTAGAATATACTTGCTGTACATTTAAATTAAAAAATATACCTCAGCTCTAAACTCGGTGGGCTGCAGTGTGGTCACCTTCCCAGTAGAAACAGACACTCAACCACTCTACTGTCCTCTCACTTCCACCAGCCAAAGCTCTGTGACACTGAGACACCTACCCTTCCCGGACAGGCGGTAGACAGCTTGTGAAGTGACTGTGCCAAGTGAATTTTGGGGTTGTTCACCATCTGACCTACAGGGTCATGCTCCTTTTTCCCAGCAAATGCCAACTGTGAGAAGGCAGTCTGGTAACCTGGGGTGTCTTCGATGTCAATGAAATGCTCTTCATCTGGAATGGTGTCATCCTCGGGTAACTCAAAAAGGCCAATCAGAGACTGTAATAAAGGAGTCCTAGTGTGGAAGAAAACGAGACAAAAGCTCGAGAAAACACTTCAAAGACTTAAAAGCAACAACTCCTCCAAGAAATAAAACTAGTCTGAGGGGCAGGAAGGAATTTTGAAAGTAAGATGGCCACAGTGCTTACTCCTATCCAGAAACCTTCAACTCCTCTGGCAAGAGCACCTCAATTTATTTTTAAGAAACAGCTCAATGTTAAACCAAACCAAGGAGCTTGAATGATAGGAGGTTAGTTAGAAAAGTGAGCACTCAGCTGCCAGATCACTCTGGGGAAGAGTTGCCCGAGAACTCTTCCCAAAGGAAGAAGCAGAGGTGAGAGGTCAAGAAGAGGAAAGCCACTGAGACACCTGTGCTGACAGGCAGGCGCCTTTCCTGCCCCCAAAGTTCCTACTTCTAAATTCAAAATACGGCTTGGTGGGGCTTTGTTGGTTAAGGCTGTCACAAAACAGTCTTGGAAATCATCTAGAACAGCCCTTGAAGAAGGCCTGTGATCCACCACAATGAATAACCATAAATCAGGACCCTTATAGGCTCAGAGGGATGCACAACCCATGGCTTAGACCTGAGAGTGCCACGGGAGAAGCTGAGATCAGAACTCAACTGTCTTGCCCTGTGGGAACAGGCTTGGTTGATTCTGCAGTCACAGGAAAGGGGGCTGTAATCTCACAAAGACATCGGCATGGAGCACTTACCACAGCTTGGTATATTCGGTATCCATCATTGGGGGACATTCTGTTAGTAATTTGGTTATGCCAACAGCACAGATCTTTTTCTCTACATTTCCAGATACTTTCTGAATTTCAGGAATTATGATTTTTTCCAAAACCATTCCAAACATTCTGTTAACCAATAGCAAAATAAACACTAAATGTTTAAGTAATATTACCACTATAAATAGGGTTGAATATTTTTTATTTGTACTGACTCCTTATGAAATGAGTAAACTGCTAAACAAAAAGTCTCCTATTATTGGTTAGCTGAACCAAAAACCTCGGTATCAACCTCTACCCTATGGCCAACTGCCATCATCTTTTGTGAATAAACATCACCCACACGATTACGAAGGAGAAGCTTTGCAGCTTTGTTTGGTTCTGGTCTTTTATGCTTTTAAACTACAGCATCAGAGCCTGGCACAGTGGTGCAAGCCTACAATCCCAGTGGCTTGGGTGGCTGAGGCAGGAGGTTCACAAGTTCAAAGCCAACCTCAGCAATGTAGCAAGATATCAAATTAAAAAAAAAAAAAGGGGTGGGGCGGGGAGGTTGTTCAGTGTTTAAGTGCCTTGGGTTCAATGCCTGGTACCCAAAACAAACACCCACCCAATCAGTCAACACAGTGATGCCTGGAATCCCAGTGACTCTGAAGGCTAAGGTAGGAAGATGGCAAGTTCAAGGCCTGCACAGGCAACTTAGCTGTGTCTCAAAATAGAGAATTATAAGAGCTGGGAATAACCAGTTCAGTGGTAGAGCACCCCTGGGTTCAATCCCCTGTGCTGAAAACAAATGACCCCATCATTCCACCATCAGCAGTGACTGGTTTTAAAACATTTCTGGATCATAAACTTCACAAATTTGTTTGCTTATATAACTTTAAGTGTCCATGTTAATGACTTATTATTTTTTTTTTAAAGAGAGAGAATTTTTTAGTATTTATTTTTTAGTTTTCGGCGGACACAAATCTTCGTTTTGTATGTGGTGCTGAGGATCGAACCTGGGCCGCATGCATGCCAGGCAAGTGCGCTACCACTTGAGCCACATCCCCAGCCTCATTTTTTAAAAAATGATTTGGCCAATCATTATACATTATTGAAAATACACTGGAAGTAACTGTTTTCAACAATTCTAAAAGATGCAAAATCCTTCACACTCTATGCTTTAATAAATTCTATGAGGGGCTGGGGCTCAGCGGTACAGCACTCATCTAGCCCGTGAGAGGCCCTGGGTTCAATCCTGAGCACCACATATAAATAAATAAAATTAAGGTATTGTGTCCAACTACAACTAAAAAAAAAAAGATAAAGATAACAGTACTTTGTGTTATCTGACATAGCAGAGAGAATGCCAGAGGTTAGGGAACTTTTGAGAATTAGAAAAATGATCACAGGGTTTTTTTTGTTTTTGTTTTTTATAATTTATTTTTTTTAGTTCTCGGCGGACACAACATCTTTGTTGGTATGTGGTGCTGAGGATCGAACCCGGGCCGCACGCATGCCAGGCGAGCGCACTACTGCTTGAGCCACATCCCCAGCCCCGACAGGGTTTTTTCTTTACAATTCCACACCTAAGAATATTTTAGAAACAAGAAAGACACTAACTACCCCCCAAACCAAGAACCATGAAATCACCCCTTAAATAGATACTGGTCAAACCATACTCTTTTAAAAACAAAATTTAATAAAAACCCAACTTACTTTGGTTGTATACCATCAAATATTTCTTGTAATGCTAGTGCTCCATATTTTATGCAATACAAATTAATAAAAACTAAGAAACCTGTTAAGAGAAAATGCAAAATGTCAGGAGAAGGACTCACCACCCATGCAAAATCATTAAACCACCAACTACCCTTGGCATTGCATTTATCTTCTGAGGCAATTTAACCTAGAGATTTCTGTCTTTATGTTATAAACCTTTATGTGCAATCTCTGATTTGTATTTCTTTACACTATTTCTACTGGAAAAAGGTTTTAATACCTAAACTTAATATAAAGCAAACTATGGAGCATAATAACCAGTTTGAAACTACAGTTAGCAAAACACATTTTCAATGCAAAGCTTACAAAGGATAAAAAGTACATTATCTAATCACAAAGTTTAAGGGTTTTAGGCTAATTTCCATCTGCTGCTGTAAATCACCCAAAATAATTTACTTACTCTTGATAAACTTTGTTGTTTTGGAATTCTGAAGTCTTTGGAACAGTAGAAGGAAAATTTGTTTCCGGTACTGGTCAACGGATTCACTAAAGAATTGAATAAACAACAATGAAAATCCAGTATTTTTCTGAGCACCTAACAAAACCTGATGAGGTGCACAGGTCATGCAGTCATACTCACGGAGGCATGTGTTCTATTATACTGTTTAGAAGATAGAAACCTTGGTGGTCATTTGCTTTTGATGCAATCAACTTCTGGAAGACGCCCAGTAACCCGGGCTACAACAGATCAAATGATAAACAATTTAAGAGGTAAAGATTAATTATTCCCAAACAGGCGACACATACTTTGAAAAGGGTTCACGCTGAATATTCTACTTTCCTTTTCTCTTTAGTTCTTACTTCTGAAAGGTAGGGGGGAAATCCCACTGTAAAAAGCCCCTAAGTTCTTGAAATTAACCTTTCTGCCTTTTTTCTTCGCCGCCATGAATACACGTAAGTAATAACTCAAGGATTAAACCATACATTAACATTTTCTACTTATTACTTTCCATTTTATAACGTTTAACTATTTTAAACAAAGAAAAACTAAAGTCCTGCCATTCCTAGCTTCTTCAAGCTGCCTTTGAAAATTGGAATCTAAACACGCCCACTCACAATCCTGTCGGCCGCGGCGCTGGCTATGGTGTTGGAGCCGCGCTCTAGGAAGGCCTGGAGCAGCCGCACCAGGGCAGGAATGTTCCCTGTTCTTTCCCAAAGCACTGGCTGTAGTAGGTGAGGAAATAAGGCCATGTAGGAAGACGGGATGTCATTTTTGTGCGTTTCCAGAAGCAAAGACATCACTTGAAAGACATACGGAATAAACTCTGTCAAAACAAAGTAGAAGCAGCCGTTAGCCCCAGAGGCAGTGGCTCCAGGGCGCAGGCGCACCTTGCAGAGCCGCAAAGTGCCACCATCTGGCTTCCGCCCATCACCAAAACGCAGCTTCCCTACCTTGTACATCATTTTGTAAAATTTCGGTAAACACCAGAAATAAAGCCTCCTCAAAGTTCACCACCGCAGCAGGGTTGGCTTTGCAGGTTATCCTTATGGCCAAGCAGATGGCCTCGAACATGTAGTGATTGAAGTGAGGCTTGCTCGGGTTCTGAAATCAGAAAAACCAAAGAGAATCCCCCAAACCTAATTACTCTCATAATCCAAGTGACTATAATAAATATCATTAAACATAAAACACACCTAACCTTTCTAAAACATATCTTGAAACATGAGTATTAAGGGAAAAAAATCCACTAAATTAATACTTATTTTTTTTTTTTTGCAATGGGAAATGCTTTATAAATGACTTTATGTGGTACGAAGTCATAAGCATCAAGTGAAGTTGTTGTTTTCCTCAGCTTCATTAAGATATAAATGACAAATAAAAACTGTACATATTAACAGTGTCCACCATGAAATTTGATATATGCAAACCTGAAAATGATCTCCCCACCCCCTGCCAATACTTATTTGTTTGGATTACTTTCTTTCTTCTTCTTAGCACCGGGGATGGAAGCCAGGACCTCAAGTGTGTTGGACAAACTCGCTCCCACTAAGCTACACCCCCAGCCCTGTCTGGATTTTTTTTTTATGGTCAAAAGTCCACTGTAAGAGAAGTGATTTCAGAAGCCTCAGCCCCTACCCTGGAGACAAGTCTTACGCCTGTGTGCTCTTGGAGACAGTGGTGTATGTAGGACCTGAGGAGAGCTGGGACACCAAGTCCTGCTCCGCACGAATCTTACAACCAGTGGGTCTCATGCCGTGTCACAGCAGTTTTCAGTTTTCTTTTTAAGCAAGGAAATTATTTTCCTCCAGTGAAAATTCACCTTGCAAGGAGCGCATACCAAGCACATTAAGCCAAACGACATTCGAGCAGCGACAGGGAATCTATTCTCTTCTCTTTCCATCCCCCCAGGCCCAAGTAGTTTCTTTACCTAAAACTCAGTTGAAAAATAACTACTCATTTCTCAAGTCCCTCCCACACTTCATACGAATTTATCTTGTCATAGCATAGCTAGAAATTAGCATCTGTAAAAATCGTCCACCTCAAAAGCATTTTTATTTTTAAAATTTAGTATTAATATTTACACATGAATCAAAATATCGAAAATTTTGGCCAAAGAGTGAACTTCATTTCGGGGATGTAAGAGCAAGGAACAAGAGACACAAGAACTCTGGTTTGTCATTTTATAGATAAATACCCATACAAAGCTTACCTTCTCCCATCTAAATTTTAGTTCATTTGTACTTTCTTGATTTTTTACACAAAGGTGTTACAATGAGAACAAAATCTGAGTCTATAATTAAAGGACGACCTGTTCTATCCTCGGCTTTCAGAAAAGCGTATCAGCTGCTGGTCAGTAGAAGGCACACACCCTCCCCCACACTTCACCTAGGCCTGAGTTCAAGGGCCCCAACAGTTTGGAGCAAGGGAAAAACCCCCTCACTTTCAAAATCCGCCGTTACCTTACTAACAGCTAATAGCTTCTGGGTAAGCTGAGTGATGAGAGTAGGGATATAGGGGATAATGGCTTCTTGCAGGAGGGAGAAACTTCTCATGATAGCTGTAAAATACAAAAAGAGCAAAACAAAGAGTCTAGTTAAACCTTAGGGTAAAACAGTGACTGGAGGGGGAAAGCCCACTAACTCCTCAAATACCCCCCAAAACAGCTCTCTGCATTTAAAAGTAAATTTCCCCTCCTGTTATAGGACAGGGGTTGACAACAAAATTTAGCTGGAGAATACTGAGTACTTCCAGAAGGCCCAAAACATAAAGATTTTTAAAAGCGACAATAAAAAATAACTAGATGACTCAAGAGGCGGACAAAGAGAAGGAAGGTGCAGCCGCCAGGTGTGGGCAGGGACTGTCTCAGGCTTCTCACTTTGCACCACTGGCAGAAATGACTAGCCCTAGCTTGAAGGACCTTGGCCCGGAGCAGACGGAGAGCGAAAGCACCTGTTTCCCTCAAAAAGAGATTAGGAATCCAAGAAAAAAAATCTGAAAATACATATAAAACCAGAGTCCATACTATAAAAATGTTGCTCATTAACAGATGCCTAAAACAATTTGGCATGGGAGAGAAATGTATCTGCAAGCTAACTGTGTGTGACAGTTCTCTTTCCACAAACGTTACTTCCAGAATAAATGTTGATGGCTAGGCACCTAGCATGTGCCAGGTTAAGGGGCAGAGAGCGATCTCTCGCCTCTAAATGCACACAGGCTTCATTCCTCAGGCTGAGCTGAAGACGTACACCTCTGCCTCCCCGCCCACACCTCAGCTTGGACAGCACTTCCTGGAGAAATGAGCTACTGTGTAGCTACCAACTCAAGCAGGATTAATCTCATCTTCCCACTGCTTGTATGCTTCCCTGATGGCTTAGAGGGGTGCAGGACGGGTGAGCCTGCCTGCCCTGGGCTGGCAGAGTCCTGCTTCACCCACACAGCTGTGTGGTAGAGCAGGCGTCACACTGCTCATTCCCAGGTCCCCCAGGAACACAGCGACGAAGACCATAGACGCTCAAGTCGCTGGAAACCCACAAACACCCTGAGATGCACAAATAGATTTCCCAGGAGTCGTGACACCCAAGCAGAAAGGATCAGGGCCAGTTTCTTTGGAAAGCATTTTCTGTGACCCAGACACTCTGTTTTTGGGATGCAACAGTGAAGAGAATGAAGCTTATCCCTGAGCTAGAGCTGGCACCAGGGCGCTCTCCTAAGGGAACCCTGAGAGCCTGTCATGCGCACCCCTGCTTCACGGAGCCCTAGCGCAGCACACAGGCAAAGTTGCCACATGATCTGATATTTGCCCTCACAAACTCAACATAAGAAAGAAAAAACAGTTTGCTATGTTTTCTGTAAAGGATTCAATATTAGGCGTAGGCAAAATGGTTCTGAGAACAGTTATTAATAAACAAGCCATTATTTTTACTTTAAAATATTTAAACCTACCTATATCTAGGTAAACAATATTGAGGGTTTACCTTTGTGCTCTGAGGTCAGACACTTAGTCACATCTGTACACCAGGGAGAAGGCCTACCTTTCATAATATATTCATTTTCTGAAGAGCCAGGAAGTGTGAGAGCTTTGAAAAGGTTTGTTAGCAGAATCTCAACAAACGGTGCGATTTCTGCAGCTGTAAAACTATAGATGAAAAAACAGCTTTCAGTCACTACAAACTCTTGAGCTCATCACAGGAATACCCCTGGCAACTACTAAATCATACTTCTTGGCATAAAACTGAGCCATCTCCCACCACCGACAGTTGGTAGACAGCTTTGGAAGAATTTTTTACACGTACTTATGTTAAGCTCCAAATTAGGCACATGTGGGATGAAACACAATTGATCAAACCAAGAAACTAGGTGAACCTAAAACCATCTAAAACTGCAAAGGGCATCGTTGGTTCATTGTTCAATGAACACGAACAGCACTCAAATTTCAGGGATCTGTGTCTGTTTTTTCCTGGGGGTGGAGCAGATATGTTTTCCATCAGTTCTGGGCCCAAAGACAGGTTAATGGCTTGACTCTCTCAAAAGGATGTCCTTTCAACCCTTCAAGTGACCAAAGAACATCTACACCAAGTTCCTGGTGGAACTGCAACTGTCTTCCGTCTCCTGCCCAGAGCTCAATCTCAATGAACACACTGTGCAGAATGGCCACAACACGAGCAGGCCACCATTCCTCAGCCTTTTTGGGGGGACTAGGTGGGAAGCACAGGGGGACTGAACCTGGGGCTTTCCACCAATGATATACACCCCCAGTGGCGCCCCCCCCATCCTTTTTCTTTCGTCGACGTTATTTTTTGTTCTTTTAAATCTTTTTAAGATAGCATCTGGCTTCATTACCCAAGCGGGCTTGGAGCTTGTGATCCTCCCGTCTGGGCTCGGTGTGTCGATGGGATCACAGGCGCTTGTCCACATCCCATCCTTGGATCAGGCCAGAAGAGCGCCTTTCTTGGTCTCCAGAGAATCACTTTGACTCAACTGTTTGAGTTTTCAGAACTCAGAGTACCACTACCTCACTGCACTCTTAACTGAAGACCTCCTTTTGAAAGGCCTTCTGAGGATCTGTTTTCATCTAAATCGCATAGACACTGTGAGTATTTTAGGTCCCTGTTTCCCTCTTTCCCTTGGCTGCTAGAAGACTCTAGGTAAAATTGGGAATTTCTTTTACTATATAGGATCTTCAGATACACAGTTCTATTTATTAATCTTACCACCATTATTTTTCTTTATTCTACTTTATTTAACTTTATTGTCAGAATGCATCTATTTTATGCCTATGTTCCTAGAGACTTGGGAGGCTAAGATAGGAGGATCACAAAATTCAAAGACCAGCCTCAGCAACTTAGTGAAACCCTGTCTCAAAATAAATAAGAAGTTCTAGGAATATAGCTCAGTGGAAAAGCATTTCTGGTTTCAACCCCCAGCACTTAAATAAACAATAAATAAAGCAAGCAGGTATCTATTTGGTAAGCTGCTTCAAATCCTTTTGTTATAAGACAAAGTACACATTTATTTGTCTAACTACTAATGAAATTTTCACAGATATCTTCAACCATTACACACCCCTGCCCCAAGCTAAAAATATCTAACCCACTAGAATCCAGAACTCACAGAGTGGCGTTGTTAGGTCCACGCATAGTGAACAGCCTTTCGAGGGCATGGGCTGCGTAGGTGTGAACGACAATGCTCTCAGCTTGAAGATGATTGATTAAGAGAGGAACAGAGACTAATAGATGCTCTTTTGGTACCTAAAAAATAATAAACATGCTCTAAATCCAAGAATGCTATCTTTGAGTAAAAGATCATCTGAAGACAAGGATTTACTGATGTTAGAAACAAGTCTTTTCTTCTCCTCTTCTTCTAGCTCTGTTATAATGGGAGGTGACAATTGAGAGAAGTCAGAATTTCTACCTCCACATCCATTGGCCTTCTCACTCTATCTTCCAATTCTTTCTCTGAGCACAAAAGTGTCATCAGAGCAAAATCTTATAGAGAAGTGAACATGCCATAGAAGGGCAAGATCATGGAGAAGCAGACTAAGATTTCACTAATATTAAGTCATATTTATGACTAATTTCAAGATAATTTAATCCTCTTTTTATTTTTTTTGGGGGGGACTATATGTATATTGGCTAATATCCCAAGGATATAAAGGACCACAAAAAAATCAAATTGCATTCTTACTATAGTGAAAATATTGGTAATTATTTTGAAACTACTTACGCATTTTAGGATAAGGCAAATAAGTAATTTAGACATAAATGTAACATTTTTAAAAGTTTTAAAATACCTTATATCATCTTAAATTGAATCAGGAACAATTTTATTTCATTGTCAATGTATTTTCGGGCTCTCCCCTATGAAAAAGCCTAGAACCAGTGGTAATTCTTTAGTAATGTGCCTAGTACTCAGACATAATGATCTCTAAATAAAAACTCCCACCTTTTAAAAAAAGACAAAATACAAATGAATTAAGAGTACATTTATTTTTCTGACTACTAATGAAATTTTCACAGATATCTTTGACCATTACACGCCCCTGCCCCAGGCTAATTTAGGTCTGGCCAGGAAATGTACAAGAGCCTGGAATATCTTGTTATATACAAAAGAATGGAGGCTACTAAAAGCTCCTGGGTTGAGGACAAGACAGGCCCAAAGATGGACAACTGCAATACCCTTAAAACCTTCACCTGTCATCTTTTGGGGGGGTTGCTAAGGCACCAGCTCATTACTATGAAAACTAATGGGGGAGGGAGGAGGCAGGTAAAAATTTATCCTGTGTTTCCTGTTCGAACTGGTAATTAATATCTACAACAACATAGAGGTGGTGGTTGTACAACATAATGAATATACCACTGAAGTACATAAATGTTAAGATAGTGAATTTCATATTATACAAAGTATACCTTGATTTTTAAAATGAGATTAAAAACTGATAATGGAAAGTTCTTCACCTGAATCCACCAATCACTCTAAAAGTAAACATAAGTCACTGTATATGTCCTCATGAAATCAAAGGGTACTTATAATACATTCACATTCCTCCCAATTCAAATCTCCAACTCTACCAATACATAAGCATGCAGGGAAACAGAAGAACAAGCTAGAGTACCATGGGGGTGCAACCAGCCATCAGCAGAGTGCAAGAGACTTTCCAGATGAATGACTGACAAGTGACAAGCATAGAAGTGGGAGGGGAAAGAATCTCTTTTAAATTTAGAGATTTGAGACATAATCATAAGTAAAATTTTTAACGAAGCCATTATTAAAAGGCAAGATGCCAAAGGAAAATCAAGCATCATCTGAAATCCTAAGTTATTAAAGAGTTAAGGTTGGATTGGTTAGGTGTAGATATCAAATATGATGGCACAGATTAGAGAAGCTGGTATTTGTGATAAAACTCCTAAGTGGCGTAACAAATAAAAAGGCACTTACTTGATTCCTAAAAATCATAATATATTTGATACCATCAGCTTTAAGAACAGGAAATTCATTCACTATTAAAAAAAATAATAAGTTAAAGTTACGTAAGTGATAAGGATAGTTACTCTCCAAATGAGTGACAACAATGAGTTTTAAAAAATAACTACAATGTCAAGTAATTAAAATATATAACTTAATTATATCATGACCTACTATGTAGCCACTAATTCAGGCAGGATTATAAACAATTTTATCTTCCCCTTGCCTTTAAGCTTCTAAACAGATGAACACTTATTACTTGTACAATCATTAAAATGAATGGTGCTATAGCTCAGTGGTAGAGTGCTTGTCTAGCACAACTGAGGCACTGAGATCAATTCTCAGCACTGCATATAAATAAATTTTTTAAAAAAATAAAGGTCCATCAACTTAAAAAAAAAAAAAGTGATTTGGGCCATGTGCAAATACATTCCCAGAATACCAGCTATACTGAATCAAGATCATTCTTTCTGAGATTTGCTTTAAATTACTCTAGTGGTGGGAAAATAAATCAATGAAAGGGATAAAACACTGGCCAGTTATTAAAGAGGGATGATGATCACACAGAATCTCATAATACCCTGTCTACATCTAGGTACATGTAAATTTTCCAAAAATTTTTTTTTTTGAAAAAGGAATTATTTTGCCAAGCATAGTGGTGCATGCCTATAATTCCCCGGGGACGCACGAGGCTGAAGAAAGAGGATAATAAGTTCGAAACCAGCCCGACAACTTAGTGAGACCCTGTTTCAAAATAAAAAAATAAAAAAGGGCTGGAAATATATCTCAGTGTAAATCCCCAGTATTGGGGGAATAAAAAGGAGTGGGGTGCTGGGGTTGTGGCTCAGTGGTAGAGTACTTGCCTAGCTCATGTGAGGCTCTGGGCTTGATCCTCAGTATCACATAAAAATAAACTAATGAAATAAAAGTATTGTGTCCAACTACAATTAAAAAAGTATTTTAAAAGGGAGGGATTATCTTAATCTAGAATAATACACACTCATAAAAAATAGGAAAACTGTTGTTAATTTATCTGTTTTGGGCTGGGGTTGGGGCTCAATAGTAGGGCGCTTGCCAAGCATATGTGAGGCACTGGGTCAATCCTGGGAACCACATAAAAATAAATAAAATAAAGGTATTAATAATAATAATATATTATATATATATATATGTTTTTATTTATCAGTTACAAGCACTTTGAAATTGTACTTCAAGTTTTAAGAATTCCTTTTTTGGTACCTGGGATTGAACTTGGGGGCACTCGATCACTGAGCCACATCCCCAGTCCTATTTTGTATTTTATTTAGAGACAGGGTCTTACTGAGTTGCTTAGAGCCTCGCCGTTGCAGAGACGGGCTTTGAACTCAGGATCCTCCTGCCTCAGCCTCCTGAGCCACTTGGATTACAGGTGTGTGCCACCGCGCCTGGAAAGAGTTCATTTTTCAAATGGTAAGGAAAAGGAAACCACAGAACAATTCCTGTTGATACATGATAACAAATTAAGATGTCAGTCTACTTAACCCTATCTTCCTTCCATATAAACAACACACTCTATCAAAAGTTCATTTCAAGGGCTGGGGCTATAGCTCAGTGGTAAAGTGCTTGCCTCGAATGTGTGAGGCAGTAGATTCGATCCTGTGTGTAAAGATACTGTGTGTTCATCTACAACTCATTAAAAAAAAAAAAAAGTTAATTTCAAGGGCCTGGAGTTGTAACTTAGTGGTAGAGTGCTTGCCTTGCACATGTGAGGCACTGGGTTTGATTTTCAGCACCGCATATAAATAAGTAAATAAAATAAAGGTCTATCAACAACTAAAAAATAAAAAAATAAAAATAAAAAAAGTTCATTTCAAGCCGGGCACATCTAAAATCCTAGCAGCTCAGGAAGCTAAGGCAGGAGATCTTGAGTTCAAAGCCAGCTTCAGCAACTTAGCAAGGCCCCAAGCAATTCAGCAGTGAGACCCTGTTTCTGTAAAGAAAGGATAAAAAAAGAAAAGAAAAAAAGGCCCAGGGATATGGCTCAGTTGTTAAGTGACTCTGGATTCAATCTCTGGTACAAAAAAAGGGGGTGGGGAAGAGAAGAAGAAGAAAAGTTAATTTCAGAGCCAGGCAAGGTGATGTATATCTGTAGTCCCACCCAAAACAAAAGATTACAAATTTAAGGTCAGCTTGGATAACTTAGCAAGAAATGTAAATTTAAATTTATTTTACTTTTTTAAAAAGGGCTGGTGATATAGCTCAGAGGTAGAGGTTTCCCTAGTAAGCACTAAGTCCTGGGTTCAATACCGAGTACTACAAACATTAAAAAGTATTAAAAAGTCAATTTCAGGGCTGGGGTTGTGGCTCAGTGGTAGAGCACCTGCCTCACATATGTGAAGCCCTGGGTTTGATCTTCAGCACCACATAAAAATAAATTAATAAAGGTATCATGTCCATCTACAACAACAAAAAAAAAAATTTAAATTTTTTTTTTTTTTAGTATCATGGTAACACAAAGAGTTCTTATTATGTCATAACTTCATAGTATACTGATACAAATAGAAATTTCAGGTATAGTACAAGTTGTAAGAAAGAAAACATTCCACAAAACTCACCATTAGCTGATTTTAAATCAGGAAGGATATGATTCACAAAGAACTCAGTCAGGTTTACTAGTTCATTAGCTTGAGTAATTCCATGCTGAAAAGGAAATTTGTAACAGGGTAAAATAACACTAAATGCCTGCACATATAGCCAAAGCAGATATTTAATCAATTTTAGAAAAGCACAATAAAAAAGCAGATGAACATTTCAAAATACAGTTTATATATAAAACAAGATTATCTTAACAGACAACAAAGAAACTTGTCTAAACTGAATAGCTAAGTTCAAGTTAATCATGTTTATACAGTGAGTGTCAGTGTATAAACATAACCATAACAAATGTGGCATCTGTAAAGAAACTTAAGTGCTTGGGGCTGAGGTTGTGGCTCAAAGGTAGATCGCTTGCCTTGCACATGTGAGGCACTGGGTTCGATCCTCAGCATTACATAAAAATAAATAAATGAATAAATAGAATAAATGTTAAAAAAAAAACAAAACAAAGAAACTTAAGTGCTTAATACAACAAGAGAAAGCTATCTTTCTCTGGTATTTTTTTATCAGAACCAATAGGTTATCTTGTGAAACAAATTGTATTATGAGAGAGAGATTATTTCTTTTTTAATTCTGTGGTTACTGACCTCTGTTACAGAAAGAAAACTACACTGAAAAGATTTACCTTCTGTGTTTGGGCTTTTGATGCCAAAGATGTCACCAGGTAAATGGCAGCATCTTTGTGTTTCCAGTTGACAGATGGATTTTTTGCATATTCCTGGAGCATGGAATTAACATAACCAGAGAAGATTCCTGTCACAGGTCCCTCAAAAAACTTGCATAATCCTCGAACCAGATCACATGCAGCCCTTCGTCTAGTATCAATATCTACAAAGTCAAAAGGAAATATATCTTGGGAGACAGAAAGCAGGAGCAAACAAGTGATCCAGCTTATATAAAAAAGAAATTGCCACCCAATAACTGTCAACAATGCATATCATAAAAGGAATATTGTCTCCCTCCATAAGAAACACAAAATGAGAATAAAACCAAGGAGTTCATAGAATTATCATAAACATTACCTAGAATATAAAAAAGGGCAAATGATTCAATTTGATACTTTTGGGCAGGGCATGTAAGTGCTGCTTTTTAAAGCTGTTCAAGTTAAAGGAGGAATACAGTTGTTAGTACAAATCCTTATCCTAGCTCCTACTCCTCCCTATGGAAAATACACTTGAAAGTGGTAAAAAAAAAAAAAAAAAAAAATACACACCAGAGCCTTCCAAATCTCTTCTTATATACTCTTCAGAATTATCTTCAAATGCTTCTTCATCAGCAGCTACAAAGAAAGTTGAAATTTACAATCATTTCCAAAAGATACAGCAAAGCACACTTTCCTATCTAATGATTTCTTCAAATACATCATCACCTTGAGTAGAAACAGCTTTGAGACACTGAGTGTCCCTGGAATTAACTTTCACTAATAACTTTCAAAAGTGAGGGGCTGGGTTGTGGCTCAGTGGTACATGCTTGCCTAGCATGCGTGAGGCACTGGGTTTGATCCTCAGCACCACGTAAAAATAAAATAAAGATATTGTGCCCACCCACAACTAAAAACTAAAAAGGAGAAAAAAAAAAAAAAAAGAACTTTCAAAAGTGGGTGTTGGAGATCAATCCAGGAATGTTGACTTTATATTGTTCCAAATAAGGACATTAAAACAAACAAACAAAAACAAAAATAACCATACTCACCATTTTTTGATAAGTCATTTAAACAAGTAGCAGACTAGCAGACAATATCAGAATAAAGATCTGTCCTTTACATGTAGTTTTAAGAAAACACAGAAGGAAATAACACCTCACACCTATTGTCTTTAATTTACCATTTTGTTCCAGACTGATAAGCAATCACTTCTCTAATGACTACTGTGATATAAAACCTAATCCCTTCCATCTTCACTAAATTTCTTTACAAGTATGAGAAGAGGCATACATACAAATAGAGGGTCTTAGAACTATTTAACTTTAAACACAAACTAAGTGGGTTTTGATCTGTATATAATTAGTTAAATCACTTTTCCACTGTTTGAAAAACAGGTATTGCCTTGGTGAAGCACTAAATCAACAAAACCAAATCTTTTCCATAAACTGAGAACCTATATTTCTTCTGTGTAAGATATTGAAAGACTTAATCAATATTTTTATGAAAAAACAAAACAAACCTTACAGTACAGCAAGCCCATTACAGCAAGACTTATATCACAGATGCCCCATTTTCTGCCTTGGTTTAGAAAATAGGCAATAAGTAACCTGCAAGGAGTTTTATTTGAATATATCATCTTGTAATCAATTAGATTGAATGTTTCAAAAAAAAAAGGGAAGACTTTTGAAGTTTATGCTAACATACTTTAATTACCTCTAAATTCCATGTTAGGCACAATAACCTTTTCACAGATACTTGTCAGTGTGTTCTGGTCCTCAAACAGATTCTTATAATGAGGTCTTTCACAAACTGAAGCCAGAAATTGAATTGCGTTACTCACCAACTGAAACAAAGGAAAAAAATAAGAATATTTTAAAAACAAAACCAAACAGTTCATTTTTGAGGAAGGGTGGGGGGGAAGGAAATATCTTTCATTTCTCTCCACCACCATCTTACCAAATCATATTTAACCTCTTGACCTGTTGTAACTAGTAAATTCCAGATGGCTGTGACAAAACGAGGCAGGTACCGCTGAAATTCTTCATCATACTTTTGTGCATAGAGAGCAGCATTATCACAGATCTGTGATTTTAAAAGCTCCAATAAGCCTGCTTCCTCTTCATCCTCACATAAAAGAAGAGATAAAACTCAAAACATGTGACTTTAATGGTTTACAAATAGTTTATCCAAGTTTCCATATTCTCTACCATAAATAAGGGGAGTAATTTCTCAGTGAGACTCCTCTATTTATTTTTATGTGGTGCTGAGGATCGAACCCAGTCTCGCACATGCTAGACAAGCACTCTACCATTGAGCCAAACCCCTGCCCTGAAAGAGATTTTTAAAATTTAAATCAATTTTAGTAAACTACATCTATGCCAACAATCTGATGGGCACATTGGCTCACACCTGTAATCCCAGGAACCCGGGAGAGGGTAAGACAGGAGGATCACAAGTTCCAGCCCTGCCTCAGGAAAACTTGGTAAGACTCTGTCTCAAAATTTTAAAAAAAAGGGCTGGGGATGTGGCTCAAGTGGTAGTACGCTCGCCTAGCAAGTGTGAGGCACTGGATTCGATTCTCAGCACCACATAAAAAAATAAAATAAAGATATTATGTCAAACTAAAAAATAAATATTAAGAGGCTGGGGATGAGGCTCAAGCGGTAGCGCGCTCGCCTGGCATGCATGCGGCCCGGGCTCGATCCTCAGCACCACATACAAAGATGTTGTGTCTGTCGAAAACTAAAAAATAAATATTAAATAAATAAATAAAAACAAAACCCCAGGACTGGAGAGGGTAGGGATATATCTCAGTGGGAGAATGTCCCTAAATTCAATTCCTAGTATAAAAAAAAAAAAAGAAAAAACCAGTGAAATATTTCTTATTAATCACTACAAGTAGCCTCAAAGTTTTCAAATTAAATAAATCCTTTTTTCTGATTGCAGAATTACAAAATATTTCCATATCACACCGAAAAAAAAAAATGCCTATTATAGAAACCTGAATGATAAAGAGCACATCACACTCTCTGTAATAGTTAAGATACATCCTTGTTGCCTTCTCCCAAAAGGTTTATCATTTCAAATATATTAAGAGGGGATGGGGATGTGGCTCAAGTGGTAGCACACTCGCCTGGCATGTGTGTGGCCCGGGTTCAATCCTCAGCACCACATACAAACAAAGATGTTGTATCCGCCGAAAACTAAAAAATAAATATTAAAATTCTCTCTCAAATATATTAAGATGTGCATTTGCACATCTTTTGTCCCTACCCACAAAAAAGCTAATGCTACAGGATTCTCACATACAGTGTTTGGTTATAAAATAGTGAACCACCATTAAAAAACAGCCATGCTCCTTCAAATACCTTAAAGCACTGTTTCTGGCTGCTTTCACACAACTGCAGAGTCACAGCAACACAAACCATCTGGCTGCACCAAGCAGAAAATGTTTACTAGCTGGCCAGTTATGGAAAATGTCTTCACCCTAACCTAACTGTGACAGTGATTTGAGCCAGACATCACAGTTTATTCTTTAAAACCTAAATTTATTTCAGATGCAAGTGTGAAGAAAATCTTTTGTTTTTTGAAGGAGTAGATTTTTTTGTTTTTTTCCCAACTGTATTTTTAGTGGAATAATTACAATTAACATAATTATTTTACAGGAGCACATCTTTTTTGTTTCTTTTAACTTACTCAAATGCAGACTTTTTTTTTTAATACAGCAATGGTCTGTTTTTCTTTGTGTATCCCACCTTCAAAATCTGAACTGCTAATTCTGATTTGTTTTATCTGGTTTGCTATACATTCTAAATATTTTAAAATCTTTATTTATATTTATTTTTATGTAGTGCTGAGGATGGAAACCATGCCTCACACATGGTAGGCAAGTGCTCCACTGCTGAGCCACAATCCAGCCCCTAAAAGTTTGTTTGTTTGCTTTAAAGGTATTACGGATGAACACAGGGGTGCTCTATCACTGAGCTGTATACCAAACCCTTTTCATTTTTTTTAGATAAGGTCTCACTAAATTGCCCAGGCTGGCCTCTGACTTGCAATCTTCTTGCCTTCCCCTCCCAAGTAGGTGGAATTACATGCATGCACCACCAGCCCCAGCACAAGTAGATCTGGAATATATTAATACATGAGTAAATGGGCAGCACAAAATAAGCACTATATGTTGAAAAGTACATACTCCAAACCCAGATCAGAAAACTTTACATATTATAAACATCTGCAATTTTCCCTGTTGCCCAACCTATGAATGATTTTTTTAAAAAGAGGCTAACGTTATATAAATTTTTGTAAGAATATTCAAAGACAAGTAACTTATTTCATAGAATATTTGTGACTACTTTAAAGCTTTACTTTCAATAATGTAGTAAAATAGCCTTATCTGTACACTGTAACTTAAGCCAGGTCCAAAATATGACTTTTTTTTTTAACATATTATACATAACCAAATATGGACTATCAAACAGAAGAAATTACTTGCACTTGTAGAATTCTATCTATTAACATTCTGGAGCAAACAGGTTTTCAGAGGGTACCCAAACAACTCTTAATGAAAGAAAAATGCTATTTATGCAACAATTTAAATACTTACATCAGTTTGTAGAAGCTTATTATCCAGTGTCAACAGGGTATGAAAATTGTTCATCCAAGTTTCCATATTATCTTCAAAAAATTCAGGAAGATCCTAAAGAATAATTATATTGACTTGAAACTTTCAATTAAAAAAATAATAAGTATACTATTCAATAAATTTCTCTATCACAATAAACATTTTATGCATGCCTATGGTCTTAAGTCCAAACTGTTGTTGAAAAACATTATTTATTGTGACAAGAATTCTCTGCTCCAGCTAGGTCTGTGGCAGCTGAATAAACCACTCTTTTCCTCTTTTTGTGTATTTTCATCACAAATGATGATACCCTCTACCCAATCCCAATCTATTTACTCTTTCAAGGTCCAGCCACACTATACAGTGCCTTTCCTTAAATGACAGTATTTGCTGGGGGCAGTGGTACACGCCTATAATCCCAGCAGCTCAGGAGGCTTTGGCAGTAGAATTGAAAGCCAGCCTCAGCAAAAGTGAGGCACTAAGCAACTCAGTGAGACCCTGCCTCTAAATAAAATATAAAATGGAATGGTAATGCAGTTCAGTGGTTAAACACCCCTGAATTCAATCTCTGGTACAAAAAAAAAAAAAAAGCCCAGTGCTTACCAATATGCCCCTTTTCTTTCTGAACTACTGCACTTACTATAAGATGATGAGCAATTCAGACTCAAACACACGATCTGATATAGTTGCTGATTTCCTGGGACACAGTACAATACTCCCTTCTTAGGAACAACCCCCTAAGAGAGATGATGCCTCCTTTGGGTTCCTTGTGTTTCCTAAGCTTCATTTCTCCTGACTTTTAAGAATCAGAACTCAGGGGCTGGGATTGTGGCTCAGTGGCAGAGCACTTGCCTAGCCATGTGTGAGGCACTGGGTTCAATTCTCAGTACCACATGTAAACAAATAAAGATCCAATTCTATTAAAAAAGAAACAGAACTCAAAAGAAGGTATAATATAAAACAATATTCATTTAAGTAAAAATTTCTCAAACTGCCATGTAGCTAAACACGTATGTGGGGCATATCACTTGGGCTGTTTTCTTCTATTGTACCCAAGAGAATACAATTTTCTTCTGGGTAATGCATTACCACTATGAGCGTAGTTATGATGTGAGGAAAAGTTCATTACTGCCTATGAATAATAAAAAGGCCAAATCCTAGCTTTGCACAGTAGCCGAGGCAGGAGAACCTCAAGCCTCAGGCCATCCTAGGCAATTTATCAAGAACCTGGGGATGTAGCTCAGTGGTAAAGCACCTCTGGGCTCAATCACGATAGTCAAGAAAGAAAAAAGACCAAATCCTTCTTTTTCCTAATATACAGCACCCTGTGTCAGCACCCTTAGCTTGGTCCTGGAGCTCTGAATCTTAAAATTAATGAATCTCAAACAACAACAACAAAAAAATGATTGGAGGCTACAATCTCATTAACAACACAGTACCCAGGCCTTTTTTTTTTTTTTTGAGTTGTATATGGATACAATACCTTTATCTATTTATATGTATATGGTGCTGAGGATTGAACCCAGTGCCTCAAACTTGCAAGGCAAGTGCTTCAGCACAGAACTACAACTCCAGGCCTTTCTTGCTATTAACAAAGGTTCTTATCCTCTTTGAAGCCTGGTACTTCAGTCTTCTATCTCCCCCATATCTTCCAATAAAAGCCCTTTTGTACAAGCTAGCCAGGAACCCCTAGCCAAAATATTGTTGCTCTAATGTTAATATCCATACAAATGAACAAAAGAGGAAACCTTAAAGGTCTAATTTCTCAGTGCCTTCAATCAAATAGTATACTCTAAAAGGGTGACATGAAATGTGGGGCTCCCTTAACTTATTGGATCCAAAAGAAAGTTATTTTCTCCCATGAAACATCCATTAGACTATTTAGGGAATACTGTATAAAATAAAATACTGAATCAGGCACAGTGGTGCACACCTGTAATCTCAACTACTAAGGAGGTTGAGGTAGAAGGATCACAAATTCAAGTACAGCCTGGGCAACTTGGCGAGATCCTCTCTCAAAATAATAAAAAGAGCTCATTAGTTGAGTGTTTGCTTAGCTTGTAAAAGGCACGGGTTCAATTCCCAGTATTGAACCAACAAAACTGGATAAAGTTCATGATGAATAGGAAGAGCGTGGCATGGTGGTGCATACTTTTACTTCCTGCTACTTGGGAGGCTGAGGCAGGAAGATTTCTTGAGTCCAGGAGTTTGGGGCCAGCCTGGACAACACAGCAAGACATAATCTCATGAAATAAAGAAAGAAGGCAGGAAGGAAGAAGAAAGGAAAGAAGGAAGGAGAGACAAAAAGGAGAGCCAGAAAAGATTTTCCTTCAGAAAAATTAATTCTGGCAAAGAAGTCTTTATCCACTGGATTATGTTTGACATCAAAAACAGAAAGAAAGGGGCTGGGGTTGTGGCTCAGTGGTAGAGCACTTGCCTCGAATGTGAGGCACTGAGTTCGATTCTCAGCACTACATACAAACAAATAAAGGTCCATCAATAACTAATAAAACATTTATAAATAAATAAAAAGGTATTGCATCCAACTACAACTAAAAAATAAATATTAAAAAAGAAAGAGAAAATAAAAAACAAGAAATTAAATGAGGGCTGGGGACATAGCTCAGTTGGTAGAGTGCTTGCCTCACATGCACAAGGCCCTGGGTTCAATCACCAGCATCACAAAAGAAAAAAAAAAAAAGAAGAAAGAAATTAAATGAAAACTTACCTGAAAGTTTAAACTGTAGAACAATTTTGAGATTAGAATCAAGGAAGAAAAAAGAATCCTCAAGGCAGAGGCATCATTTGCATGGGTACTGCACAGTTCAATGGTGGCCTTGGAAAGGAATTTAGGAACATTGTTTTAGTGTTAAACCCCACGCTCATCTTAGTGAAATACCCTTGCTTTCTGCTGACACTACTCCTATTTCTTCTCTAAAATGTAGCTTTAAATCATAGTTTATGGTTAAGTAACAGAAAAACAAGTATACATTTTTAACTTATCCATAACATCATTCGGAAAAATCTAATGCTAATATTCTGAATTATACCAGTCACCTATGTACATATATATATTACACAAAATCATTTTTATGCTCATTAAATAATTTCTCTGCCACCTGACATGTTGTTTCTAATTTTGCTCATTATTCTAACTATAGTAGGCTTATCTACAAAACTTTTGGGCACACCTCTAACTTCCAAGACAGCACTATATAAAAGCACAGGTTTTGAAAGATAGATCTGCATACAACCCAGATTGTATTACTCATAAGGAGTGTTATTTGAAGAAACTAGGTTATTTTACTATGAGCCCTAATATCCTTACCATTACATGTGAATAATGCCTATCTCATAGAGAGTATGAGAATCAAATGAGAAAATATGAGAAGTCCTACTCTCTGTACACCTACTATGTAAAAGACAATAAATATCACTTCCTATATCCTTGAGTTAGGGTATGTAACACTAAGAGTTTCTCAATGAAACTACAGCATATATCATTCTTAATGGTGAAATATTGAAGCCTTCTCTTGAGATCAGGACTAATACAAAGATGCCTTCTATTACCACTTTAATTCAAAAAGCATTGTGCTGAAGGTCATAGACAATGTACTAAAACAAAGTAATAGAAGTATGCAAGCATGGAAAAGAAAAAATAAAACCATCATTATTTGCAGATAATGCAAGTGTGTTCACAAAAAATCCACAAGAATCTTCAGCTAAACAGTTATACCCAACGAGTTAACCTAGAAAGGTAACTAAACATAAAGTCAATATGCAAAAACTTAATCAAAAAACCCACATTCTTCTACAAAATGATAAAATTATGTATATATCCTATGTATCACAAGAGTAAAATTTAAAACACCATTTAAACACTATCTGGAAAAAAAATAAAATAAAATGCTCCAAAATAAAGCCAACAAAAGACATAACGTATCCTCTACTAAGAAAACCATAACCCAATGTTGAGAAAAATTAAGACCTAAATAAACGGGTATACCCAGTCATTAAAAATTAAATACTCTA